ACCCCATACTCCTGGAGTCCCCCCCACAGGAGTCCCTGAGGGACACGGTCAAACGCCTTCTGCATGTCCACAAAACACATGTAGACTGGTTGGGCTAACTCCCATGCACCTTCCAAGACCCTGCTGAGGGTGTAGAGCTGGTCCACTGTTCCATAACATCCAGAGCATTAAGGAACTCCAGGTGAATCTCATCCACCCCCGGCGCCCTGCCACCGAGGAGCTTTTTAACCACCTCAGTGACCTCGGCACCAGAGATTGTAGAGTCCGACCCAGGGTYCCCAGGCTCTGCTTCCTCATGGGAAGACGTGTCAGTAGGATTGAGGAGGTCCTTAAAGTATTCCGCCCCCTGACCCACAATGTCCCAAGTTGAGGTCAGCAGTGCACCATCCCCACCATAAATAGTGTTGGTGGTGAACTGCTTTCACCCCCCGAGCCGCCGGATGGTGGACCAGAATCGCCTTGAAGCCATACGGAAGTCTTTTTCCATGGCCTCTCCAAACTCCTCCCATGCCCAAGTTTTTGCCTCAGCGACCACCCGAGCCGCAATCCACTTGGACTGCCGATACTTATCAGCTGCTTCCAGAGTCCCACAGGCCAAAAAGACCCGATAGGACTCCTTCTTCAGCCTGACAGCATCYCTCACCACCGGTGTTGCTGCCACAACAGGCACTGACAACCTTACAGCCACAGCTCAGGTAAGACGCCTCAACAATGGAGGCATGGAACATGGCCCACTCAGACTCAATGCCCCCACCTCCYYGGAATGTGWTCGAAGTTCCCCTGGAGGTGTGAGTTGAAGCTCTGTCTGACAGGAGACTCTAACAGATGTTCCCAGCAGACCCTCACTATACATTTGGGTCTGCCCTGGTCTGACCAGCATCCTCCCCCACCAACGGAGCAAACTCACCACCAGTTAGTGGTCAGCTGACAGCTCCGCCCCTCTCTTCACCTGAGTGTCCAAAACATGCAGCTGCAGATCAGATGAAACAACAACAGTCGATCATTGAGCTGCGGCCTAGGGTGTCCTGGTGCCAAGAGCACATATGGACACTCTTACGTATGTTTGAACATGGTGTTCGTTATGGACAATCCATGACGAGCACAGAAGTCCAATAACAAAACACCGTTCGGGCTCAGATCGGGCGGGCTGTTCCTCCCAACCACGCCTCTCCAGGTCTCACTGTCATTACCCATGTGAACGGTGAAGTCCCCCAGCAGAACAAGGGAGTCCCCGTTAGGAGTGCCCTCCAGCACCTCCTCCAAGGACTCCAGAAAGGGTGGTAATCTGAACTGCTGTTAGGCTCATAGGCACARACAACAGTCAGAACCCGTCCCCCCACCCGTAGGCGGAGGGAGGCTACCCTCTCGTTTATCGGGGTGAACCCCAACATACAGGCACCGAGATGGTGGGGCAATAAGTACGCCCACTCCTGCTCGGTGCCTCTCAGCATGGACAACTCCAGAGTGGAAGAGTGTCCAACCCCTCTGGAGGAGACTGGTTCCAGAACCAGAGCAGTGTGTTGAGGTGAGTCCAACTATATCTAGTCAGAACCTCTCAACCTCACACACCAGCTCAGGCTCCTTCCCCACCAGAGAGGTGACATTCCACATCCCTGGAGTCAGCTTCTGTAGCCGAGGATCAGACCACCAAGGTCCCTGCCCTCGAACACTGCCCAACACACAATGTACCTGACCCCTATGGCCCCTCCCACAGGAGGGAAAGTCATCATCATTGATCAGAGAGCTATTTTTTAGGGGTGGCCATTGTCTCCCTCCAAG